CGCCGCGCCGCGCCGCGCCGCGCCCGGGTCTGGAAGGTTCGCGAGGCTCCGGGCTGGAGCAGGGGAGGAGGCTCCGTCGGGCAGGGAGCCAGAGAGGGCGGCGGAACCTTGACCGCGGCCCCGGAGCCAAAGGGCAGCCTCCGCGTGACGCCGGGGCCGAGCAAAACAAGCCGGCCATCTTGGCGCCCTTAACCCGCTCCTGGCCGCTCCGGGGCGGGCGCGGCCCGGGGGGGCGTCCGGCCACCGAGCCCCTCGGCGGGCCTGGGGTTTGGACACCCAAATGTCATGGGCGCGGGGAGGAGTTTCTGAGAACGGGAAGACAAGCCGAGGCCCTGGCACGTCCGTCCCTCCTCGGGGTGTTTGGAAATGCCGTCAGATGGCCCTTAGCAGGCCGGGCCAGCGCCTCGGTCACTGATTGGATTCGGTCCGGTCGCCTCCCCGTTCTTTTTGCCCTATATTCAAAGAGCTTGAAGTCGCAGGTGGTTGAAGTAGGTCAGTGTGACCATCGGGGCTGTTGTCTGGCAGCCCGGGGCCGGAGACGCGGTGGGATTCCAGTGGATGCCCTCGGGTCACACCAACCCAGGGTCAAGGACCGGCTGCTCCAGGGCTGGACGTGGTCCGCCCATTTCCAGTTTCTCAATCATTCTGATGTCATCTGGGGAGCAGAGGACCCCACTGCTCCTCCTGTCTGCCTAGTTTTACACATAGGTGTTTGTTTCTAGAATATTCTTTCTTCTTCCAGTTCTTCAAGGTCTATCTTAAAGAGACCCACCAGGAAGCCTTCTTAATTCATTACCCTTTGTTTCCAGTGACTCCATCTCCCCTTGGCTAGCCCACCTACAGACGGTCACACCAGGGTCTCCACTGCCCTCCTTAGTTTTTGTGGCTGCACCCTCCCCTTCTGAATCCCCAGGACTCTTGAGTGTCAGGCCCATCGTGAAATTGGGCTTCTGTTACTGGGTACGAAACCCTTGCAGGAAAGGATCCTTGTAGGAGAATTATCAAGTGATTGGATTGGGTTTTAATCTGGACTTGGGTGTAGTATTTGGGCAAGGTCCACAGATGTTTTGAACCTGGAGCAAAGGAAAATGTAGCGGTGTTTTCTTAAGCCCTGTGATGGAATCCTTTTATGCGTGACTACTGAAAGTTCATTTGAGTAGAAATGTCAAGGTGCTGTAGGAACCAAAACCGTAGGTCTGAACCAGGCTGAGAAGGCTTAACCTGCAGCGCCCCTCTGTGTGGGCTGGGCTGTGGGACCAGCTGAAGACTAAGCCAGTGATTCTCAACCTGTGGGTCACGACCCATTGCCTAAGACCACTGGGAAACACAAATATTTACATCATGATTCACAACAGTAGCAAACTCAGTTATGAAGTCACAACGAAAATAATTCTATGGTTGGGGGTGGGGGTGGGGGTCACCACACCATGAGGACCTGTCTTAAAGGGCCACCACCCTGCGAGGAAGGTTGTACCGCACTCAGTGCTGACTTGAGGTGTATGTAGGCAGAGGTCTACATAGGAGGAGGCAGGGAGAAAGTGCTTGTAGCGGCTTGGAGAAGGCTCATGCCAGAGGAAGGAGCCCCCTTTTCCTTTTAAAAGCTGTAGTCCAGAGTCCTCCCATGAAGGACTCCTGAAAACCCCTTTCATGCCTCAGCCGCAGATGATTTGCTGAATGCTCATTACAGGGGGAAACAAAGAGGTGGTTTTGTTTATTTATTTAAGGGCACAAATAAATGAGCTGTGACAAAACCATTTGAAACCAGGCAGGCCCCTCTGAGACCTGGGCTTTCACTTCCTCGATGGGACTGGACGTAAAACAGAATGAATCCCCCCTCTAAATAAAAGTGAAGTTAATAATCAGACAGCTCAAGCCCTGGCCACATCCGGTCAGCCCCCTCCCTCTCAGGGCTCACTGTTTATAGCTGCTGAGTCCTCCTTCCCAGCCCGGAGCGGCTTAACTCTTTCCTCCCTGCCTGGGGGAATCCCCAGCCTGCTCAGACTGCAGAGGTGAACCTCACAACCTCCGGGGTTGACATGGCCTCCGTAGTAAAGGGTGGCTGGCCATCTCTAGGTATGTCCACGTGGGGGTGTCCCCCATAGGCACCTGCCTTTCAGCTTCTGGCCATGTGCTTAACTAGCCTAGCTTAGCTTGTCCCACAGACAACGCACACTGCCCCCTTTCCTTTCTGCCCCTCCATGGAAAGAAGCAGCTAAGTCCACCGCTGTTGCAGCTGCCTGCAGCCTCTTTAGCCCGGTGGCTTCTGGGAGCTGCATTCTGACAGATAGGGGTACAAGTCTTTGGGGTTCTGGGTCTGAGTTGGAAGCAGTACTCTGTGCATATTGTTCTACCTCAACTGTCTTCAGTGTGTTTATTTCTTCCATAACTCCACGCAGTCACATTACGTGTACATGCAGGACATCCCCACGGGGCTGGGGACTGCCTCCTGAGAACTTTCTAACAGGTTCCAGGCAACAGCTTTACCTGCAGGGGCAGAGGTCAGGCTCATTTTACAGAAATGAGCAGCGTTCAGTGCCTTGCCCAGCGTCACAAAGCTAATAGCAGGGATGGGATGTGAAGTCGAGCTTTCGGGCTCCCAAGCCTGCGGCCTCAGCCCTTGCTCTCAAGGTCTGTCAGAGATCGCTTTCCCTGGAGCCAGGACTTTAGGACCTTAGGATCCTTCACAAATGCACTGCATGGGTCTCGAAGCCCAGAGACTTTCTGAGACCATTCTAGCTTTGTTATGATTCCTCCCGCACACTTTCTGTCCACCCGAGGGAAGGTGACAGGGAGGGCGGGTGGGACTGCCGTGGCCTTCCATGTCGCCTTCTCGAGGTTCTCTGGACAGTGCTTTTGAGGAGAGCTGGGCTGTACAGCAAGCTTTGCATCCTTCATCCCTCCCTTGACTGGCATTAGCCCTAGAGTGGGAACAGACATGGCTGCCTATCTGCAGGGCCTTTGCTTCTGTCCCTTATCTTTTCGCCTGCAGGTCCCTCACCTGAAGTCACAAGGGGAAACTTGCTTTTCAGGATCCCATTTGCTGTGTGGCCTGGGGCAAGCGGCAAAACTTTTAAAATGGTCATGAAGGCCTCTTGCCTTTCTGCAGCCATGGTTACTGACCATGGAAGCCTGTCTCTGGCCAGGGCACCAGGTCCTTTGGGGGAGCCCTCCTGTCCTTGAGGGTGCATTGTACTGCCCCCCACCGTGCTGTACTGCCCTGCCTGCCAGCCAGGGCAGCCTTTTCAGTACCCCAAATCCAGTCTTTGGGACTGAGTTCATCTGCCATGGATCAGAGTATGTGGGGGTTGGGATGTGTGAGTCATTCAGAGCCATGGCTCAGAGCAAGCAGTGCCCTCTCTATTCATCAGCCTCCAGTTCATTCAGCAGAGGGAAAGATCCCATCCTTCTAGGTGACATGTTCTGGACTAGAGGCTTTTTGGGGGGAGGACAGTAGCCATGGCTTCTCCATTGCCTGGCAGGATACCAGACCCAAGGAAGTTGAGAGTAGTGTGCCTTTCTATTTTTGATGTTTAAGAAAAACCTTTGGCTGGGCTGTGGTGGTGGTGCACATCTTTAATCCCAGCACTTAGAAGGCAGAGACAGGTGGATCTTTGTGAGTTCGAGGCCAGCCTGGTTTACAGAGTGAGTTCCAGGATAGCCAGGGCTGTTACACAGAGAAACCTTGTCTCGAAGAAACAAAAACAAAACAAAACAAAATCTTCCATAGCCAAGCATCATGGCTCATACCTATAATCCCAACACTGAGGCAGGAAGGTCACTGTGAGTCTGTGGCCACCGTGAGTTACAAAGTGAGATACAGGCCCTGTCTGAAAAGTAAAAACAAGTGCTTGCTTTGACAGCAAATATACTGAAAAACCAAGGAGGAGGAAAAGGGGGTACATCTGTAACTTGATGTGCCGATGATGAGGGTCTTCAGCTAAGAGCTTCAGAGGCTAAGGCTGCCATCTGCAGAAAACAACTTAGAGCCACACCATTTGGCAATACTTACCAGTGACAGGTACCACAATCGACTAAGCTGTTTACCCTCACACTCTGTGAGGTGGAGTATGTGTGATTCTCCCCATTTTCCTGAAAGAAAAGGCTTAAGAGTTTGCCTTTTACTGTGGGGGTTAAAAAAGTCATCGTGTCTTAAAATACATTAAACAAAATTGAAAAGTAATTTCTGGGAACTTAAAAGCAATATAAAAATGAAGTGTGCTCCCATCCTGCAATGGCCCAGAGACTGTGAGAGTAAGGATACTGTTTGTGGTTCTCACATAAGAATGGGCGAGGGGCTTAGGAACTTGGCTGATGCTGGGTAGGGCTATCCTGCCCCTTCTCTACCTCACATCTGCCTATGGCCTTATCTTTAAGACAGTGTGTATAGGAAGTAGTGTGTTTCAAGAGCCAATGAGACAGTCATTGAGTTAAAAAATCATTCCAGCTTTTATGAACTTAAGACATCTTATTTGGGATGATCTCAAACACACACGGGAGACAAGGAACTACTAAACAGACAGAAACAAATGGGCCCGTCATCCAGCTTCAGCATCACCGGCTCACAGCCATGCTTGTTCACTTCCAGCCCAGCCACCTCATCCCTGGGCTGGTTTTGGGGTTTGGTTTTGAAACGTTGGAAAGACCTCACACATGCTAAGCACCTGCCTTTCCACTGAGCTACATCCCTAGCCCCATTCTGAACACTGAGAGAAATCTTATGTATTAGATCCTCTTCTACATTAAAAAAATAAATCAATCTGCCCTACCAAGAATGTCAGTTTGGGCCACCAAGATGGCTTAGAGAGCAAAGGCGCTTGCCGCCCAGCCTGCTCATCTGAGTTTGGTCTTCAGGACCCACG